TCGAGAACGCTATGGTAACCTCCAGTGACGACAAAGTACCATCCTTTAGCTGCTTCAACAGCTCTTCAACGGTATACTTCTCGGTAATCTCAAGTTCCTTCTCATTCAACAGTCCCGACTTTCGTGCAATGCCCATCTTCATCAAGCGATTTGGATGTTCCGAAAGCGGCATTTGAAGCATGTCCGTGACTGATGTTGGAAGAAGCCATTCTTTTGGTATCTTCTCGCGACTCGACTGCTGCTTCGCAGCAACTTTACTTTCCCATGAAGCGGAAGCCATATTTGATGAACAAAGGGAATTGCAAAGTCTCGGAAAGATTCAAGTTGGAGAGATACGGGTCGGACGCGTAATATTGGTAATGGCCAGCATCCGGAGATGCTAAGATATGTATATCATTGGAACACTCAGATGCCGTAGTATCTATCCGTAGCTGAATAATGCGGGGTCCAGATCTCGTCCGCATGATCGCGAGGCAAAGTGTTGATATCTGGCCGTGTCGGAGCAACATTTCGTTTCGTGTCTGAGCGGCAGACGTTAGCGCGACACTACCCCACAGCCGCCAGCGCCAAGCCGGTGGGTTATTTAATTCGCAATTCGCCCAATTCGCCCCGTTCGCCTGCGGAAACACGCAATCCGGAGTTCGAGATAGGGATGCGCAGATAACGTACAGAACACAGCTGACACTGCCTCAGCGGTCGCTGTGGTATATATACGCACGAAAGCTCTGGGTAACAGTGGGGAAGCTTTCCACGCAACAAGCTCCATGCCTGTGATAGACAACCTCTTCAACGCGATTATTTTTGTTTCGTACCCTCCTGAGAGCGATGGCCGACAGCAGTGGCTCCAGACCGGATGATGGCACTTTTTGGGCTCCGGGAACGCTACGACTAGAGGATTGTAAGACTCGCATTTGCCGCTGTAAAGACCGCACACTGACTGTCCCGCTGTAGTGACGGGACCCGCAACGGACGTCATCCTCCACCCAGTGCCTAGCACCGAACCAGATGACCCCTTGAACTGGAGCAAATTGCGCAAGACCATCAACTTCGGCTTGACCGGCTTCTTTGTCCTTTGGACATTTGTACAGCTCCAGAGCGGCACGACATCATGGGGTCAAATTGCGCCTGAACTGGGCTTCAGCAACGATCAGCTGAATAATGGAGGCGCTATGAGCTGTGCTGGGCTTGCAGTCGGCTGCATGCTCTTCATGCCGTTCGTACACAAGTACGGACGACGACCTCTGTACCTGCTCAGCTCTGCGCTCCAGTTGAGTGGAGTGTTGTGGCAGACCCAGATGGCGAACTATGGTGACTATTTGGGCAGCAACTTCCTTGCTGGACTGGGCGGTGCTATCAGCGAGGCCGTCATCCAGATCACCATTGCCGATTTGTTCTTCGTCCATCAACATGGAACGATGAACGCATGGTACCTCGTCTTCACGTCCGTGGGTGCCTCCCTCGGCCCGGTAGCCGCCGGCTTCGTTGTGGAGTCGCAGGGCTGGAGATGGATCTGGTGGTGGTGCACAATCTTCCTCGGTCTAAACTTCGTCCTCGTCATGTTCTTTTTCGAAGAGTCCAAGTACGTCCCTTTTCTCAATGGTCAGAGTGTGCCACATACGGCTGGCACTTCTGGCTCGGATGGACTCGAGGACGGCCGTCCCGACTCAGGGCTGCAAAAGGCCACAGACGGCAAAGGCGACGCAAAGCACACCGCCATGGAGCGCATACAATCCCGAATTGACACCTCCTTACCACGAAAGACTTATCGTCAGCGCATGGCCATCGTCACCCCTTCCAATCAACGCATCGGCCATCACTTCTACCAGCCAATCGTTGTCTTGTTCACTTTCCCTGCCGTGGCCTTTGCTGCACTCACTTATGGGACCCTGCTGGCGTGCATGGCATTGATGAGCTCATTACAGGCCGTCTACCTGTTGCAACCACCGTACAACTTTGGAGCCTCTGGCGTTGGACTCATGAATATTGCTCCGTTCGTTGGCACTTTCTTTGGATTCTTCGCGGGTGGTTTCCTGAACGACAGATCGATCATGTACTTCGCTAGGCGGAATGGAGGCATTTACGAACCAGAAATGCGCCTGTGGATCACTCTTATCTCAGCATTCCTACTCCCGGGCGGTATCCTGATGTTTGGGCTAGCCTTAGCCAGGGTATGTTGGTAGCACCTGGCTGTAATGATGGTTCACTAATAGCTTCTTCAGGGCCTGCACTGGATGATATTGGCCGTAGGATTCGGGCTGTTCGGTTTCACATTTGTCCTAGCTAGTGGTGTCGCGCTATCATACGTGACAGATTGCTATCAAGAGGTGAGTCGACAGCTCCCAGTCTATTCGAAGCGGAGTTCCCACTGACATGACAACCTTCAGATCCTCGGAGATGCTATGATAGGCATCGTCTTTGTCCGGAACCTATTCGCCGTGGTCATCCTCTTCGCACTCACGCCGTGGACGAACAATATGGGTATACAGAACGTCTCCATCATCACGGCGGCTGTATGCTTTGCGATCTTGCTAATCCCCATCCCCTTGCTATTGTGGGGCAAGAAGATCAGGGTTGCGACGGCGACGAAATACAAGCGCATGGCAATGCGACAACCAGCCCATAGAACACTTGAGTAGTGTTCGTGATGGGTATCGCATCGCTACGCTGTTCCTGGGAAAAGCAGAGCGGTTAGAGTGTCCCTGCACAAACAACTTCTTATGGTATCTTCATCCCACCCAGATGCTTTCCACCAAGGCATTGTCTTTTGGGCTGTGTGCTCTCCATAGTCGAGAGCTTCATCGTGGAAGCCACGAAACGATCTCGCTCCAATGAATTTGAGCCGTGCTATCTTTGATGACCCAAAATGCCATGAGTTGCTTCTTGACCTTTGTTCGCAATTCTTTCGAAAACTCGATGACGACGTCGATCTTGTCGAGCGCCATTTCGCGCTGAGCAGAATCGACCAGCTCGAAGCAAGCAAATACATATGGAATAATGGCGCCTGGCACCGAGCGCTTGGTGATTTGGAGTATCATCCGCAGCTCTTCGAAGATAGCATTTGAAATGACAGTGCCTCTCGCTGACGCTGTGCCATATGGATGTCGCAGTCGATGTACGATAAGCAGCACCGACCAGCGATATAGTTTGGCTTGAGACATGATGCTAGCCACCTCTTCCTGCAAAAAACGACTGATTTGCTCAACGGGCAGGATTGGCGTCCAGGCCTCGACGGCGACTTCGATGTCGTTCAGAGCTTGCGTAATCTCAGATAGATCAAGGTTCGGATTCTGGCGTAGCGAGTCGGTGATCTTGCAAACATCGTAAAGATACGGTAGCATAGGCCAGGCAATTCCCATATATCGATCAACCATGTCATCGGTCTCTTGGACTTCGAGCCGCAGGGTTGGAGCCTCGCCCCGTATGATGCACTCTTCGGTCTCCGCCTGAATGAGGCAGATGACGAAGGCCTGACAGTCCGGACTGAGCTCCACTGTCGATTCGTATATGGGCTTGATGATGTCGAGAGTGTGTCGACAGATCTCTAATGAGCTCCCGGATATGTGCAGGGCAAACGTGATGGCGCTCACTGCAAGCATCAACACGGTCTGAACGTCTCCAGGGTCGACGGCTTTAACAGACCGTAAAGTGGAAACGGCAGAGGCAGCCCGCCTGTGGCCAATGACTCGGTCCTCATGGTTTGGGCCAGGCTCGTACTCGCAAGCTAGGAGGGCCGCGGTGGCTATCAACGAATCTTGTACCCACGACGTTGCGTTGTGGAGCTGACGCGCGAAGGCTTTGTGGTGGCAGATGCGGAAGCTTGGCGCGATGAGGAACTGGTCGATGCGCGTTTGGCCTTGGGATACGCCCTTGACGAGGTGCATCTCCCGCTCACTCAGATCCGCGAACGGGGATGGAGCCCTGGGCAGCGCGACTATGTCCCAATCCGGCATCGCTGGGCTCGCGGCCGAGGCTGGGCATCTGGGTGACGAAGAAGCAACAGAAAGGCTGTCGCTCCGAGCCGTCTGTAGCGGGCTGCGTGTCGTACCCTCGGTGCGCTGATACCGAGGTTTGCGGCCAGCAGTGCCAACTGGTCGTAGGGTCTGGCATGAGTTGCGGAGGCGTTGGCATCGCTCGCAGGCATCCTGGCCGGGGACGCGCCTGCATCTCTCTTTCACGGCATGGCACCTGTCGCATGCTCGTCTTGCTGGCGGTCTGGCCATCGCGGACGCTCTCCGGTGGGTCGCAGTGGATACATGCTCAGTGAAGGGTGGTGTCTGGAGAGCAGGCAAGGTAGCTGAAACACCGGCGGGTGCTGAGTAACGAAACACGTGCCGTCCGGCAATCCCCGCGTCGCTGGCTTCGATCAACCGAGAAAGACATCGACCTGGGATCTTGTTGTATACACTGGGATACATTTGTGAGTTGATAATACGATCATGATGTAAGTATTTATTTTGCTCGTATTCGTCGCGTGTCGAGTCTTGGTAAGTTAGTGAGAGCTTCATGGAAGGAACGCCCCGCAGACTGGAGCTTCATGGGCGTTCACGGAAAGCACGCGTCTCTATGACGCGGCTGCCATGGAGGGAAAGCACGACAGTCATCAACATCGCGACTGGGTAAAACTTCCAAGGTTTGCGAGGCCAATATCGACGTTCTGCTCATCCACCATCCCTCATCACTCATCCACCATCACTCATCCTCATCTCATCTCTGATCTCATTCCTCATTCTCATTCTTCCTCTCTTATCTCTCATCAATACCCCGAAACAGAAGAAACAACAGAAGAAACCGAAACCGTCTGCAGCGGTGTTGGAGACAAGGCTTCAGACTGCATACACTAGCTTCACTGCACGAGCCCCGGCAACTCTGAAGCCAATCGAAGTACCTATCGACATCGGTTCCCTGGCAGAATGGGTGACTCTGCTCAACACGCCGACTGAGTTTGGGCTCCCGCTAAGTTCGCGGAGGACCGAACAGACCCGGGCCAAATCGACACCGCCATGGACCTCACCAACTGGGGTGTCGCATACCTTGAGAACGTTATGCCTGCACCAGTCAAGGCAAACATGGCGATGAAAGAAAGGCTCAAATCACCTGCTAGCGAATCCATGATGACCAATAGCTCTCCACCGCCTCTTAGTCAGTATCCAGCAGATGATGGCCCGCTCCCGTGCACGTCGTCGCTCCACTTCAACGACTGCAGCGGCACAGCAGATGATTTCGCCTCTGCCCCTGACAGAACGACTAGCGAGACCGCGATGTCTCTTGTCAAGCCATTGGAGGATCTGACCGATGAGATACTATCAGCGCTCTGCCTCTGTCTCCAGAGGAAGCAATGTGGATGCTGGGCGCGGGTGACTCAAGCCAACTTGGCGAGTACGAAGAGTAGGTGGTGCAATTATACAACGATACAGCTGCTTACCGTAGACAGCGGCCTCATGATCGAACCGCGCGATGAGCAATATCTGCCGTCGCCTGAAGACTGGATGTGTACACCAGACGGAGACCTGGCGCACGGCATCGTAGACGAGCAAGCCGACGACAACCCAGCCTTCCAATAGCCTACCGAAGCGTCGGAGGAAGCCATGACACCCCGGACCCCTCGCCTTCGGCTGGTGATGCCAAACAAGCCGGCCCTCAAGCCACGAGAGTTTGGTGAGACAGACCTACCAGGAGTTCTATGCATTCCGCCGAGCGATGACTTTAATAACCACCACGGTTGTGTCCACTTCGACAGCATTTTGGACATCGGTGGAAGCTGTTCTTGGAACAAGGGATGACTTTGACCGGGGCATGTTGATGTCGGAAAAGACCGCAGAGACGATTACAAGGGCGACGAAAACCGTGCCGCTCGATACGCCGGGCACGCGGAGGTGACGATAGGCCACAGTAAGCCGGAATCCAGGCATCTGGTCGATCCATCCGTGCGTCAGAAGCAAGAGCAAACGCTAAAACGGCTCGTTTGCGTTATCCAAATTCTTTGTACACCGCGAACAAGTGCCTCCAGATCTTCGAAGGCATTATATTTATCGGGAGGTAGAGCAAGCTTACTTCCTCTGTAGCAGTCGCGATCTAGACAGAACTGCGGAGTCACAGTAACGTCACTGATCTATCGAGCCTTGCAGACCACAAATGAATTGGCACTTGCACAAACACGATGCATATGACACGTTGGAGAATGTGCTCAAATCGCGAGTCGTGTTTGAGCGCGTAAACTTCATCCTACATGTATACATCGTCTTTGGTCCCCCGTATCTCACTAGCCGCATACGTAACCTTCTCTGTTTGTGTTTCGGGGCCCTACTCGTCTCCATGCGTTCACTTTTCTCGATGCGGAAAGAACAAAGCCCAGGTCATTCCGAGCTTCTCTTACCTGATTTTGAGAGATCTTGAGCCGCACAGCTTTCTCGATGGCTTCAACAGTATGTGTCAATAGAGCCTTTGAAGCCTGTATCGTACAATCCTGGTTCAACACCCGACTGGTCACGCAGCTTCGGGGATGACGGACAGTAGTCAGTAGGCTGCAAAGCCGTTACCGAGTAATTTTGCGTTGGTTTGTGACGTGAAAAGTCAAGGTGAGAGGGCTTGACGTCACCTAGTATCGCCGCTCCGTCACCGCGTCTTGCAATCTCTGCTCTCACCTCTGTTTATATAAGCGAGGCTGCTCAAGTAATGAAGGTCAACACTGTTTCTGCACCCTATCTCTGCACATCTCCACCACCGCACTCGACAAAACCATGGCGGATCCCAGCGCTCTCCAAGTCGCGCTTACACAGCAAGCCGACAGCGAGATGACTGCTGCTTCCAACAATCCCAGCGATGCAGCCTCTCGAGACATCCCCAGGAACAGGCCCACCGGCGCTGACACCGTTAACCCTACATTTCCTGGCGATGACCCCAGCGGGACTGGCAGCACCAGCGCCCACGATGACTTTGCTTTCCGAAAGAGAGAAGCCGTGACCACAGCTTGGGAACAGTGGACCCGCACTAGCAAGCCAATCGATGACAAGCTCAAGGACTGGAATGACACAATCACCGACAGTCAGTTCGTCGACAGTGTCATAGCTGAGCTCGAGCGCGCTTCGTCCTCTACAGCTGCAAAGCTCATTGGTGTCCTCAAGGCCGAGAATGATCTTCTCAAGAGTTCAAACAAGACACTGACCACCCTCGCCAAACACGTCGGAGAGGACTTGGCTGGACAGACGACCTCGTCGGCTGGTGTGTACCAAGCACCCGGTCTTCAATACCCTATGCGTCCGCAGACCCTGCTTCGATGGTTCAAGCGTTTTGCTGATGCAGGATGGGCCGTACCCGCAGGTCTTTCAATGACCAAGGACAGGTTCGTTGACGAGCGTTACGGCTGCCCTGAGGATTGGCATGGCACCAATACAGTCTGCATATGCGACGACAATTCCGGTCTCATCATCCACAAGGGCTTTCGCGATTTTTTGGACCAGCAGCGAGGATGTGTCCACGAGGCACCGTATGCACTGGCGATGTGGCTCTACCTTTCTCGATACAACATCTTCTGGCCCAAGCAGACTGTGTCTTCATGGTTCTTCGAACAGGCATCGCGCATTGACTCTCGCCATCAATTGGACTTTGCTGCTATGGATGATGACCAGCACATGAAGGCTTGGCTGAAAGCCACTGCTGCCGAGCTGCCTAGCATCTGGGACCAAGTTCTGCAGCGCCAGGAAGAAGATGACCGCACGATCTCTAACAAGCTATGGGCCCCGGTCGCGAAGTTCGTGAAGGACCACGAGCACGACATGCTCGAGCCTTTGTGCGATGTCTACAACCAACTCGGCGACGACGAATTCGATCTCAACGAAGCAGAGCCCCGGATGACCCAAACTGCGCATGATGTATTTCTTCTTCGCCTCGCTCAGGGTGAGGCCCCAGCCACCTTTCTGTCTAATGACCAAGAGATGCATTCGTTCAATCACCTTCGCGTAGCCGCTCTCAAGGAGGTGCCTACTGGACCTGATCGCTATACCCGCGCTTTGGGGAAGATGATGACCTTCGATTTGCGAGTACAGTGGATGAAGCACAAACCATCACCGGAGTCCAGCCAATCCTCCATCAACATTCTCGATGGTGCCAACGCGGACGAACCGATGGTTATCGATGACGACTAGCCAGGACGACATGACTAGCGGCGTAAGCGGCAGGCTTGGGAAGTGAGGGACTGATGACTAGGTACGACGGAAGACAACAACTGAGGATACCATGGGAGGGGATATGGCGATGACTAAGTGGTATACATATGGCGCCGGCATCGGCTGGTTGCAGGGACTTCAAGGATGACTGTCTCCGATGAAGACTGTGGATACCAAATGACACTGATGAAAGTTAACATTGGCCCCAAGTGCATGGTGAATCAATGAAGACCTGATGGTGTGCTCGTGAGAATATTCATCTCTTTCCCAACGCCCATGCAGATGTGACACTTTCTTGATCCTGAGAAGTGACTGCCATGAACTTCATTAAAAGATATATCAATGCGCTATTCCTAAAAACGACCTAGCCTTCTGATCAGACAACGATCTCGCATCACTCTCAATCGTAACCGTAACCGTATTCGTCGTCATAATCTGATCCTCCTCATACACCGTCCCCCGTCGACTCCTCCCCACCTCTTCATCCTCCAAAATACCCCTCTGACTCCAATCATCTCCTTGATCCTCAATCACCGTCCAACGGCCCTCCTTGCCTTTGCCCATCGCATGCACAGTCGTGGTTGTTGTAGAGTGTTGGCTTTGGTTCAATCGGGACAAGGGGACGCTTTGGTTGGTTTTGGTATGCGAGCGCGAGTAAGAAGATATAGTTTCTTTGAAGAAAACGCGGAGGACAGGGATGGAAGCGGCGATGATGGCGGTTGCGGTTTCGACGCCGGTCCAAATGGTGAGTTCTTTGCCGTTGTAGGAGAAGTCTTTTTGGCCGAGTTGGATTACGTAGACGCCTTTTACTATGGCGCAGACACCGGATCTGGGGGAGTGATGTCAGTATTACTGTTCACCAGTCGTGTAGGCTCGAAGTGACGTACAATACACCCATGCTCATGGCGATGCCCACTCCGATCTTCTCGCGGAGCTTCAGTTGTAATCCCCATATGAGATACCATGGAAGTAGTGCTAGCGCAAAGTCTGCCGCAGCGCACCATGCAGCGTTGAAGATACCATAGTCGATTGAGTGGCTGGAGTCCCAGCATGTTCCGGGGAGATCTTTGTTCCAAGCTTTCGCCATGGGCTGGCACTGGACCCATGTAGCCAGCGCACTTGGCAGCATTATGAGGAAGAGGGTCACGATGCAGAACCATACGAACCCGCGTAGGTAACCGGAGGTGAGGCGGAGGAGAGTGACGCCGAAGGATATCTTTGAAAGCGTGGAGGCGAAGCAGGATATCGATGCGGCGACGGACATTCCGACTGCGATGGTCATGAGGTATTTGGGGTTGACATCTTCCAGTCGTTTTCCGAATCCCATTTGTTGTCCAACTTGTGTGATGATAGCCTGCGCGAGAAGGAGGACCTGTTCATTCCCGTTAGAGACATCATACAAATGGAAGACTCAGACTTACCCATGAGACAGTCAGGATGTGATCATCCCACCAAAGCCCTTGCTTCCTCGATAACTTCGCATAGAATCTCAAAGCCAGAAACCCACCACTCAATATCGTCAACATCCACGTTACTCCAGCAATTACAGGGCCATTATCCGGCACACCCATCTCGGTGCGGATCAGTCTGGAGGACCACCAATTCGTATAAGCCCGCGAGAATATGCAGTCATGCGTACTGAGCGTGCATGCGAGGATCGTAGCGAAAAAAGGCAAAGAAAGGCTGTGGGGATGGGAACCATGAAGAAGGATCAGCTCCGGCGCATCGCCCACGTTCCCGATCATACCCAATGCCTGTAGTCCATCATCTCGGTATTCGCCGTACACTGGGGCGGAAACGAAGAGTGGTAGTGATGGGATGCTAGATCGACTACTTGACACGCGACATGGCGTGTTTGGAATCGGTACACTAGAAGCATGTCGTCGGGAAGTGGAGTCGCATCAGGTTAGTATGGCGAAAACACCACAAATGCTGCAATATGTCTAGTAATGGGTATAAGTGCATTGCTCGAGCGTTAAGCCTGTAGAAGGAAGCGGCACCGTTAGCTGCACGTCCGGCAACGAATTCCAGCCAAGCGTTCATGTAGCGACGGAGAAGCCTGAGAGAACACGATCGTCTAGCGGGCTGAACTGGGATAGACCCTCCAGGTACCTGGGCCCCGGAAATGAACCACGCGGCATGGGAGCGTTGCGACCTGAAGGAAGGAGTTGAGTCGTCTACATGAGGCGACGGGCGCTCCGTGCAGATGTGCGTCTAGGAAGTCTCAGACCTGCGGGATGTGCGATCGATTATACGATTCGTCGGTCCGATCATGCAGCAGCCACTGCATCTCGCGTTCTAGGCCGTTAGCCTCGAATTACAAAATCGCATGCAACTTGTGCGACCACGCGACGATGCGATGATCATAATTCTCCATGGGATTTCGGGAGTTCAAAGTAACTTTCGGTGACAGAAGCCTCTTGACGCCCGAAGCTAGAAGATGCCGCAAACTTTGTGAGCGGCGCTGGAGTGACGCGGCGTCGGTGTCAAAAGGCCGGCGTTACCGAGCTACCACATGGCAATAGAGTTTGCGCCACATTTAGCACGCAAGACACCCGCTAGCTCAGACACGAGCGAAGAATATGTGTGGTCGCCGATGGCTCGCGCTGGGCTGAACGATTGAACTGGGCGGGATGATTTGCCCGAAGTTTTGACGTTGGGCTGAAGCGACGAACGTGCACAAAGGCCTGTGATAAATCCGGTGAAAGGCGGGAAGGTTCGGAATCAAGTCCGCAACGACTCTTGCTACTGAGTATGTATTCAGGCTATATTGGACGGCTGATCCCCAAGCCGGCCTGTTTCCCATCCCTATACCACAAAGATGTACCCGCGACTGCTACTGGAGCATCGCCGCCAGTGTATCATACTCTACCCCTTTTTGTTGAACTGCTTCAGCTTGTCCTGCACGGCTTGCTTGAGATCAAACCCTTGCATCACGCTGCCCCTCCTCTTCCTTTGCTCGATCTCAGCCTTGACTTCGGCCACGATCTCGTCAATCTCCGCCTCGGGGTCATCCGCAATACCCAGGAGAGGCATCTTGGCGTGACTCTTAACACTGTCTGACGAGTTGGTCCTCGCTAGCCTTTCTCGTCGAATCTCCTCCCGTGCTGCCTTCTCAATGGCAGGATCATCGTATGTGGTGGCTGCCGCTGGGGGCGCACGAGCCGTCTGAAGTTGAACGAGCTGCTTGCGGATAGGGAACGACCGCGAAAAGACAGCAAATGATCCGGCCACACCGATGAGAGTGTAGAAGTAAACCCGTGCCCAGATCTTGATCGTATCCGAAAAGCCAAGAAGGATGAAGGGAGCGACTACGAACGCAAACACAGTCTGTGTAAGGACGACGCAGAAGAGGTCGTAGTATCGCTTCGAAGGTAGAGGTGATTTCCCGTCTGGCGTCATGAACAGCGGACGGATCAATCGGCGGCCATCTGGTGAATGTCAGCATGAAAGCAGATAGCGCATCATCAGAGACCTACTCTTCGCAGCAGTTTGTACAAGAGCTGCCAGAATGAAGGCCATGTAATAGCCAGGGTAGAATCCATGCCAGAATGCGCTAGTCACAAATGTGGCAAGCGTAGCCCTGAAGCCAGGTTTCTGTCCCTTTGGTGTCACACGAAGATACATGTAGTTCTTCAGCCAAGTGTTGGTGTTGATGTTCCAGAAACCAAGGTAAGCACGAGCATTCTGCGCGGCCTCAATCTCGAGTGGCTTGATGTTGGTGAGACGGTCCCATTTAGCTCGACCAGTCTTGGGGTCAAGACCGTTGTAGCCGATTCCGGAAAGGATACAAGATCCCTCAGATAGACTCCAAACTGCGTAGTACTTCATACGCGTGGTAAGACCAAGCATGTAGAGCTGCCAGATCCTGCGGAAAAAGTTGTATTGCATGTATTCATCCCCGAGGTAGAATTCAGGGTAGTACCAGCTGGAGAATTTGATGAATGCGACCAGCCAGAGAGTTCCGTAGACTCCTTTGGTTACGGCAGGCATGCCGCTGCGAGGAATCTTCCGCTTCTTGCGCGTTGGGGGTGCCTTGGACGGATCGGTGCCTGGTGGGAGGGTGAACATGGTCGTAGTGATGTACTGACTGTAATCGGCGTAGTCAAAGGCTGGACCAGCCATGAGGGCAGGAAAGAAAAAGACATAGCCGACGTAGTCGATCATGCTGGGCATTGTCCGGATAGCGTGGGCGCGCTGTTGCTCGGAAAGCTCAGAGTCCGGAAGGCGACCATCCTGGACGTTCCAGCAGAAAGCAGTCAGCTTCATGACCAGGACCATTTGAGCTCCGGTAATGTCAAAGACCGATGGGTCATTCACAGCTTGTCGGTAGATGTGGTTCACCGACATGTGGCCCATGAGAAATACGAATCCGATCCATGGCATGTACGGCGAGTGGATCTTAGAGGAGATGAGGTAGGCCCCGCCAGCACTGATGAAGATGGTCCGCAGGCCGGTCCACAAGTCAAAAAGGCCAACAAGGTAGAACATGGAGACGCTGGAGCCATTAACACCAGTTCATCCAAAGCAATATTTGATGAGCCTCACGTAATGACGAAGACATTCTTCTTCCATGGGTCCTTGTCGGGAATCCTTTTCAACACGGCAGCTAGAGGATACGACAGGTAGAAGGAGAAAATGAGCTTGACTGGGTGGAGTCAGCAGAACATCAGCCACATGTGCCATGTGAGATCTTACGCTCATCAGCCGAATTTCCAAGCGCACCAGCCACATATTCAAAAGCTTCACCATGGTCAGTATTGGTGGTAGTGGCTCATCATGCTAACACGTACGTGCGTTGATGTAGGGCAACATGGTGCCAACTGTCAAGCTGACGCAAAGTCAGACCCAGAAGATAGACGGGTAGAACCAGAAGCGGTGAGAGTTGAGAAACAGCGGTATTATATGGAAGGCATCGGTCCTGTGTCGGGCGGCGGAAAGTTAAGTGAAAGCATGCAGACGCAAGTGCATGGTGGGTGAGAAGCCAAGATGACGTCGGGGCACGTTTGCCGAGGCCCGTGCAGGGCAGCTCAGCGCTCACTGGCCAACAAATTCGCGACAGAGTTGGGACGCGACTTCGCGAATCCTCCACGGGCGCAACCACGGCGCATCCGGACAACGGCACTGATAACGCCCTGATAACGCACCTCGATAGCGGAACTCCGTCGCCGACATGGCCACGACGTACAACCTCGAGCCGAACCCGACGGCCAAAGTCGTCCTGCACACGACCACGGGCGATCTCGAGATCGAGCTCTTCGCCAAGCAGACGCCCATCACGTCGCGCAACTTCCTGCAGCTGTGTCTCGATGGCTACTACGACAACACCGTCTTCCACCGCCTCGTCAAGGGCTTCATCCTGCAGGGCGGCGACCACACGGGCACGGGGCAGGGCGGAGAGAGCAGCTACGATGGCGAGCCCTTTGCCGACGAGTTCCACAGCCGGCTGAAGTACACGCGACGGGGGCTGCTGGGCATGGCCAACACGGGCAAGAAGGACGACAATGGCAGCCAGTTCTTCTTCACCCTGGCTGCCACCCCAGAGCTGCAGGGCAAGAACACCATGTTCGGCAGGGTCGCCGGCGACACCATCTACAACCTGATGAAGATGGCCGAGGCGGAGATACGCGACGGCAGCGACGACCAGCCCATGTACCCCACCAAGGTCACGGGTGCCGAGATCATCATAAACCCGTTCGAGGACATGGTCAAGAGGGTGCAGGTGGCTACGACGACAGAGTCCGAGACCAAGAAGCCCAAGAAGGCGAAGAGGAAGGCTGGCAAGAACGTGCTCAGCTTTGGGGATGAAGCCGAGGCTGATGCGGCGCCGGTCGCGAAGAAGCCCAAGTTCAACACCAAGCTAGTCAGCGCAGGGGATGAGAAGCCTGCATCCAAAGCACCCGAGGAGACGAGAGAAATACCCATACGCAAACCGTCGCGAAAGTCGCCGCCACGATCCCCATCGCCCAAACCTGCGCACAAAGCCACTCCCAAATCACCACCCAAACCCAAAGCGCGCACCCCACCACGAGAACTGTCGCCTGAGTCCGAGAAGCGATCGAAGTTAGACCGCGTCAACCAGCAGATTGCCGACCTCAAGGCATCGATGAAGCGGAACACAGCTGCCCAAGATACAGGGCCAGCCAGGAAGAAGTCGCTACTGGAGTCAATGGTACCGTCAACTACAACACGGGGACGGAAACGCGGAGCAGGCGGCAATTCAAAGGACGAGCAGTCAGCGCTGGACATTCTCAACCGGTTCAAATCAAAGCTGGACTCAGCAGACTCCACCGCCGCCACGAAAATGGACACTCCAACATTACCAGAGGAAGCACCGAGCAACCAAGGCAACGGAGACGCGAACGGAGCCGACGAAGAAGAAGAAGAAGGCGCATGTGATTTACATTTCATAGTAGGATGCCAGTCTTGTAAAGCCTGGGACAAGCAGGATGAGGAGGAGTCTGATGACGACGCAGGGTGGATGTCGCATTCGCTCAGTTTTGCAAAAGACAGGTTAGGGAAAGACTTGGAGTGGAAGCGGAAAAACGAAGAAGAGTTGTTGGTTATTGAC